GACAGTCTAGTTACACTCTTTCGTAGCCAACTCATGTCATCTACTCAGACCCACCTTTGAGTATCTTGTCACACCTAGCCGTCTGCTATACCTCGCCCCTGTGTCGTATCCCCCATACCCCTACTCGAGCATTGTGACTGGAGACCTGACCCTTACCGGTTAGTCGAAAGGAGCAGCGCTGACACCGCGGACCCAGGGAGTTATGACTTGAACGCTGCTTCTGTCGTTGCTACTCCTGTGGAGGTTGCCTCTCAACCGAAAGCCTAATCAAGCTTGTTATACGATTCCGAAAAATCTGAAACACGTTCTCGCCGGTCGTGTTGCCCCCCATATCCAATGAAACATTGCACTGCTGGAAATGGGAGGTCAACACTGCTCAGTGCTAATTCTCATCTTACTATAAGGCCGTACCAATATGCGTATTTCCGAAGCACATGGCTTTCATGCTACGTTTTCATTAGTGCTAGCCACGTTACCGACAGTTCAGCTGCTGTAGACTCCATTGATCCCGCGAGGGCGTTTTCTTTATTGTGAGGTTGCCGGCCGATGAAGGTTATCACAGATCAGTCACGAAATGAGGCTTGGGTTTACTCGGCGTTTACCAACTGTCGCAGCTCTTCCTCCGACTTGGGATCGGTGCCCCAGCTAGACCACGCCACGAATTTGAATTGCGGGCATTGTTTAGCCAACTCGCGGAATATTGAACTGCCCTTCACAGCACAGGGGTTTATAAATCCGATCGCTGCTTTGTCCCAGTTCTCCCTTCTAGTTGGCAACCCATGGGTCTTACTGTCAAGGTAAGTCCACGCAAGATGGACATGGAAGGTGGTTTCAATTTGACCGCATTTCTGTGCGTAACTGTTGATGCTTTCGGATACTGACCAAATACCATCAACTCCTTACATTAGCTTGTGTTCACCAATGGAGTATGACCCGCCTGGGATGCCACCGGCGAAAGGCCCAAAAGGAAGCTGCTCAGCTGTATGCACAATCAAGATTCGGGATACGTCGCGAAGGGAGGGCATTATTGACGTTGCCTTCAGCATCAAGCCATCGTTGAATAGGACATGTGTGGGTTCGAAATGGCATATGTGTTTGTCCAAGAAGAGAAGAAACACTTGGATTTGGATGCTCGCTTGATTTTCCTGCGAACTGGTTAGGTTCGCTGCTCTTTCTTGCGACCAAAGACATCGTACCTCGATTAATCTGGCAGTGTCGCGGGCCAAAACTTTGTCAGGAAGGCGTCCATGAGGTCGGAAGCATTGATAGCAATGTTCTTTACTCTATCATCATCGGTGAACATGTAAGTCCTTATGTGAGCCTCAAAACATTCATCCACTGGCATCGATATAACCCGAGTTTCGAGGTCGGGTTTCGGGCCAGTCGCAATCATTTCGTCACAGTAGGCCTCGATGTCGCTGTCCCACACATAGCAAATTTGAGCTGTAGTATGTTTACGATGAGCCAGATACTTTAACAATGACAGGTTCGCTTTGTAGCCACCAGATGAGCTTGAGAGACCCTTCGCAGTCTGGAAGAGGAAAACACGCATTGCTTCGAAATTGATAATTCCTGATGATGGGTGTGCCTAGCAAGCTAACAAAGGGATTTTCGCTGCGTACTTATGCTCTTACTCGCCTCCCCAAGTGCCGATCATTCTCAGAACAAGCACTCACTTTTGAGCCTCGGTGAATATTGTCATGCCGGGCAAGTGCCACTCCAGGGTAAGATGACGAGTTATGAAGGGCTTACATTGAACAATCTCCTCGAATCCCGCGGAGTCCCTCTGGCTAGAGTCCATGCATAGGAGAGAGGTACCGATCGCCATTTGTCCTGATAAGCATGGAAGCAACCAACGACTGACCAACGCCAACGCTTCCGCTTCCTCGGATTCATTCTCCGACGCCCAGTGCCAGTGAAGTGGAACATGGGAACGTTGAGGCGATTACAGTGGAGAGCGGGCCATCCACCACAGTAGGTAGACTGACGCTTATGCTCCACGCAGAATCAGGCTGTCCATTTCTGTGACGCAACTCGATAGTATGCTAAGGGCGGAACCCAAACATACGACTTCGGTTAGCGCATATGTACGCATCCTTCGCAGCAAGTGCTCGTCTTGGTTGGTCGTTATAGTGGCCTGCTGTACTATGACATCGATTTGCGATGACGGCCATCCCGCCACTTTGTCCCGCTTTACCTAATGCTCCAGGCGCGGTCTTGTACTGCTCGATTGAGACTTGAGTGCAGCCACGAAGGAAAAAGCCGGATCCCCTTGAGACGGCTAAGTAAGACACTGCTTTTGGTAAGCTCATTATGGATAAGTGCACATTGCCAAGGCAGTCGTTATATACTGTCTCGTCTACGTCCGCCTGAACCCTACTTGAACTCGGCTCTTGGTGCGCAGCTCCGAAATGCAAGGTTGGAATAGGCCCGAATTGACTAGGAGCACTGTGCGTTGAAACAACGAGACCGTTGGTATAACAGCCACCTACTAACATGGTGAGCTGAGCCTTTGCAAGCACGAGGTCCCACTCTTAGAGATGAAAAGAGAATGGCACGGTTCTCGTAATTACAGCGTACCGAATTGTAGCAATAGCACAGCGTACCGAATCGTAGCAATAGCACCGCGACATTAGCTATGGAAACATTATAAGAGAAATTGCACTCTCCAATCCCAATATAATCAGGTCTTATAGCAGAGCACTTTTGATCTTTTCTCCATGTGCGGTTATTGCCGGGCCAACCTCAGACCAAAATCAAATCTCCCGATCTGAACGTGCTCAATTGGGGAGTGCCTGCCGTCGGTGGCGGGGAGAATCTTGTCTGCACATACGTCTTCATTATTCCATACTTCTTCTTATCGAATGCCTCGTACAGGTCGCTGAAATCCTCGATCGAGAATCTATGAGTTAGGACAACGGTGGGATCGAATTCGCCACTCTCGATCTTCTCCAGCAACTGGTGCCAATACTTTTGCACTGGAGCTTGGCCGCAACCACGGTACGTGATACCCTTTTCCATTAAAGCTCCAATGAGGAACTGGTTCGTCATTGCCGCGTAATCTGCCACAATCGCGACCGTTCCGAATTTGCGCACTGCACGTAGAGTCTCGTTGGGGATCTCGCTGCTGTCTGTCTCCAGGCGGACAAGGCGCTCAGCACTTTGCCGCAACGTTTTCGTGTACCGGAAGGCAGCGGCGTCAATACAGCAGTCCACGCCTTGCGGCTCGAGCCTGTAGATCTCACTGACGACGTCCTTTTGCTTCGAGAAGTCGATGGTATCGCAACCCATGTCTTGAGCGAGAGCGAGGCGCTCTGGTATTTGGTCGATAGCGATCACGCGTCTTGCTCCCTCGAGCTTGCTCCATTTGCACGCTAGCAGGCCGACTGGGCCGAGACCCCAGACGGCGACGCTCTTTGCCTTTTTGACTTCGGCGCAGACGATGGCGTGGTAGGAGGTTGGGACGATGTCGCTGAGATACAATGCTTTCTCGTTCGGGACATGGTCGGGGATCTTGAGGAGATTGAAGTCGCCAAATGGTACCCGAACAAACTCAGCTTGACCACCGGCAAAGCCGCCTGCAAAGTGGGAGTAGCCGAATAACCCCGCAAAAGGTTTACCATAGAGCTTTTCTTGCAAAGCAGACGAGTTCGTGCGGTCGCACATACTGGTAAGGCATTCTTTGCAGAATTGACACTTGCCACAGCTGGTTTTGTCTTGGTTAGCCCTGACATGATCCGTATAATGTATTTACTGCCTTAAAAACAGGAATAAACTTACGCAATTTGGAAACTGGCGACGACTCGGTCGCCTTTCTTGATGGATGTGACTTCGGACCCAACCTCATCGACAATGCCCATGAACTCATGTCCCAAGATCTCACCTTTCTGCAGCTGCAGAATCTCTTTGTGGTAAAGATGCAGATCACTACCACAGACTGTCGTACCGGTAACTTTCACGACGACATCGGCAGGCTCGGTTATGGCGGGCGCGGGGACTTCCTCAACGCGGACATCTTTATCACCGTACCAGCGGAGTGCAAGCATGGTCTCATTGGGGCGAACTTTATAATCACGGGTGGTAGCGGTAGGTCGGTCACCGAGTGCCTTTTCCGCGTTGTTGGCGACAATGGTATTCATCTTGCGATTGGTAACAAATTTCGTTTTCTCTCAAAAGAAGTAAACTTGGACCTGGGGACCAACGTTGAGATGACAGTAATGAAGACAATGAAGAATTCGGACATTTTTATACAGCGAGGCATTCACTGTCAAGAAAGGAACGCTGTAAAGCAGTCTGACGTATGGCAGTCTAAAACAAAAAGTTGAGCCGCTGATCTGTTGCAGCTTTTCATCAGTCGGCAACCTCCATTCTAACTGCGCAATAGAATATGTCCCGTGGAGCCTACAGCAGCTGAATCGTCAGGAGCGTGGCCAGCACTGATGGGAATGTAGTATGGAGCCATGTGTTCAAGCGCAGGCTCGACGTGGCCTCCATAGCGGACATAGCAATTAGGTGGTGTCGATCTTCCATTTCCACAGTAAAACATTTTATTGGATGGGCGGGGCAACATATGTGCATCAGGCTTGTAACTGGGTTTGTTAGGCTTTCAATTGGCATTGAAGCCCGCAGTCAACTCCCCGGTCCCAGAGTAGCAACGATAGAGGCAAGCACTCACAAAGCATAATCCCGCGGGTCCGCGGACCCCGTTATCGCTAGCCTTGGCATTTCCGAACCCTTAACTCGCTCCGGGCGCCTGTGATCATCCTGGAATTAGATCATCAAAGCCATGACAACATGTGCCTACCCCTTGTGCGGATATTGAACGAACTAAGTTAGGGCACTCAATGTTCCAGGGGCGACGGGTCTCTATACATTTTTTGAAGGTTTCCGTTCGTCCCAGGCTCCGCACCTCCCAATTTACTGACCGGGGCGGAGTGCGTCTTGCGATACGTTGGAACAACCTTCGGTGCAGGAAATCTATCCCAATTAGACCCGCATGTAGAGTGACTCTATTATGCCAATCAGAGCTGCCATAGTTGACAGCTTCGGCAACGGTGGGGCCGAGGTACAATCTCTCGTAACCTTCATAATCCACAAGTTCAAGATTGGTCGAATGCCTACCGTAGATCGTCCACAATAACGCATCACATCCTCTAGAAAATGTGCCCTATTTGAGGCCAATCACGGATCATGCCGAGTCGAAAACCAAAAATTCGGGAAAATGCCCGCGGGAAGTTAAGCCTAACTTCAGCATGGCTCTCTTCTACCTGTCTACATGACATCATGTTAACATCACTTCTCGCATCGCTTCTGCCAATCCCAGCAATCTTTTGACAGGGTTCATTTCTTGGAGCTTGCGACTCCTGTCTGATGAGAAAGCCTGACTGTTACACGCCTGAACCATTCCGAATGGAACGGCGCCCTCCGCAGCAATGACGAGCCAGATAAGGTTGAGGCCGAAAAGCCCTTCACACTGATGACTGATAGCAGGCAATCTCCAAGCGAGTGGCGGGGCACGCTGAATGAAATATGCGTACACTATTCTTTCATCACCCATTCGGCATGTGTGACATTTACATCCATTACAGTTGCCCATACGTGGTGCTCTGCTTATTTGAGGAGTCAAAAGAGTTGGATGTGCACCTTGGTGTCATGTTGTATTTAATGAGAGGCTGAATTATTCTTGTCTTAGTTCGATTGTTATTGACCCGTTCGACGAGGCTCACTGAAGCAAGAGATTGACCAAGATCACAACAGTATAACCCCCACCATGTCGTCCGAAGCTTTCGCGGCCCTTCGCAAGACACAAGGCGAAGAGCTCGCTAAACTTGCAGAGGAGCATTTTAAGCACGAGTAGGTGATATCCTTATTAATATAACTTCCTATGTTTAATTACTCACGTCACTAGCCTTCGGGATGAAGACCGCGATCGAGTACATAGCGCCGCATCTAAAGCTTCCAAACACGCCCTCATCGGCTCCCTAGCCGGCCTTACACTAGGCGGTTGGCTAGCTTTCCGGTTGCGCGCGAACCGAAGCGCCATGTACCAAGCCTTCCGCGCGTCGGAGAAACCCACACACGTCAAGTTCGCAAGTGGTCGAGAAGAAGCGATTCCAGATGTCAGCCCACTTCTCAAGCCCACGCCACTGGGAGATATCATCACGTACACATTCTTTGGTCTCGGCGGTATCCTTTTAGGAGGTGAGACTGGTCTGTTGACAGGGTCGTGGTCGGCAAAAAGGATAATATCTCGAAATCCAGATAGCAGGGAAAGGATCGAGAAGGCATTCAGATCGTTTCGTGCGGATGTGCTGAAGAAACAGCTGGAAGAAGTGAAGGAAGGCAAGACGAAAAGTATCTGGTCATAAATGAGGAACCCCAAGTGGCCTTTGATCAAATCAAGAAGCGTACCTTTAGACGCCCAGCATCAGGTCACGCTTCTGATGAACCGCTGGAACAATCCTGTCTATCAATACAAACATATTCAAATGGCGACACTCAGGCAACCACCAAAGATGGCAACAGCCATTGTGGTAAGCAATCTAATGTTGAGCACGGCAAGCGAAGCTGAGATGAAAGATGATAAAAACTAAACCAAGTCATCTCATGAAGCTTCGTGGTCGCCACGCGATCAAGGATATTTTCCTTCGCTCTAGGTGCTGGGCGTTGCGATGAACGGCGTTTATTCCACATCTAATACGTTCTTCACAAGCGCGGCGACCTTTATTCCAAATTCTTCGCCCTCCAGTCCCTCCACCTCATTGAGTTTAGCGCCGTCAACCAGGTACCTTCCCTTGACAACTACTGTGGGCGCAATGTCACCTCATTCATCTAGACTGCCTGGTTGCGCCGGTCGCTTTGCCCAATGTGCAGTGAACCTGTAGCTGCGGCATGTTGGCCACCTTCCAGAGCAGCTGTCTGATCCCTTCCAAGTCTGTCACAGTTCTGTCCCTCAAATAGCATCGAACAAAAGGATGATCATTTTATCGTCGATATGGAGATCCACCGCAACAGCCCAGACATAGGTCAGTGTCAAGCCAATGTCGAAGCCAGGGGTCTCAACAGTTGATACATGTTATAAGTGCACCTCGGCACCTTCGGGAAAGATTTTCTAAACTTTTGTACGACCCGACATCGAGTGGCCCGGTTGTAAGACGTCTGGTCTAAGAGAGAAAATATAATGACGACGAGCGGAAGACTCTTGAGAGGTTGACGAAGGATATTCTATCCTTCAGACGAAAGGGCGTGATTCCGTATGGAGATTCAGGTCGACGTAGATTGCGAATCAATCATTCGACTTTCCGGTGTTTTGAGCAAGACTTTGAGCAGAGCGAAACAGATTCTTCATCCAGAGAGGAGAACCCTCGATTATTTACTCTAGCCCGGGAAGTAGCTCCAGATTCAATCCTATGCTAGTCCACCCCTTTGTCTCTAGCAGCCTAACAGCGCGCGAGGGATCATGTCCGGCGGCTTCTTTGACTGGATGATCCATACAATTCCAGAGGCGGAAGCCTGACGATCAAGAATCGCTTGCAATTACCAACTACAATAAATTGGGATATTCGGACCAGCGGAATACTCATTCGCAAGATGTATGCAGGCCGGCCGAGCACCACTAACTCTTGCTTCCTGCCTTCCTTCCTGAACACGACTGATCACATCCCGTGATTCAGTCTTGTTGTCCAAGGCTCGTCACCCCTGCGTTCCCCTGACTTGGCCCCATGGCCTGTTTCGCCTGCTTCCCGGCCGCATTAACGTTAGGCGTAACAGTCCAACTGCCCGAACTTTCAGGTCTGTTCGCCTTATGGCTATGTAAAGGTTGAGCTGTAATAGTGTCTGAAGTAGGGGCTAGATTGTGACATCGAATCAATGTCAAAGCGATAATTTGATCCACGGCTCAGTGATGTGGTTGCCCATTCACCCCATGCTAGATCTGAAACTGGCGGCTGGGAGTGATTTGCTGCTGTTGCTGGAGCCAAAGTGTTGTTCAAAGGGATGTTTAAGGCAGGTACTGCCAGAACTTCGTTCGATGAGGATGGCGAACAAGAAAAGGCTGTAGGGAGCCCCTCCCAGGATGTTGGCCATGAAGATGAAGTGGGAATTATGGTAGCCGTGGTAGAGTTTCCCGCAGAGAACGGAGTAGGTGGCCACAGGTTTGTTGTGGAGAGCTCACGGCGTTCGATCTGGCTCGTACTAGCAGCTCCAGCTTCTTCACGACCGTCCAGAAGCTGTTGATAATGATTTAATACCGCGTAAAATCGCCTAGCTAAAGGATTGTGAAGGGCACAAGCGGATAAGATATTCATGCTCGCCTCAAGACCGTGGTGCTCCGGACGGGCCCTCTTAACAAGCTTGAGATTGTAGCGTAGAGACATCCTCGGCACCTTAAGACTCAAGGCCAGCACGAGACCAGCATGATATACAAGGGTCCTGAAGAGTAGTCCGTCAGCACTATTGTGTCATTCGATAGCACAACAATACTCACGTGACGCAACAGTCTCCCTGGCAGAGGAAGCCGCGGTCCAGCATTGTTGACGCTATATGAGCAATCTGAGCGGAAGCATCCACACTGCCGAACCGAGATATTTAGCTGCAACACTCGGCGATGTGGGTGATCATACCATGCTTGAGAATATAATTTTCTGTGCGCTGAGTTTTGTTCCGTCTCCGTGCACAATGATGCAAAAAACTCCGGCTTAGATAGCGTCATCACTGTTGCGAAGTAGAATATTTCTAGATATAGCTTGTCTGCTCAGTCCTCAGCTCATTTCCGACTCCAATGATTCAACTTACTGGGCCGGCCTCATAAGCTTGTGATGAGAGTGCGCCACCGGTACTGGCGGAGTATCGTAGGTTCTGTGGAAGTTCTGATGCCCACGTCTCAAGTGTATGGAAGAATGATTCTTGAGTACTGGCACGCCATTGGCCCCGGCATAAACTTGCCAGAAAGCGGCTGATGAATACACTCAACTTCGCCATGTTGACCTCGATGCTGTCGTCCGGAGACGTAAATTCTTTTGGAGTCATCTGAATCCGCATCAGCAACATAGTCTGATCCAATCTCATGGCGCCGTCCTGCCTTCACAAATGAGTCCTGTGTGGTGGTCTGGCTGATTTGTGGCGGTTTCCCAAGTGTTACAGCTAGCCACCTAAAAGTAAATCAGTCAAGGAATATAGTCATTGGGTGTATCATATCTTACGCATCAAAAGAGATCATGGTTCGCCAAACCTCTCTCCACCGCTCGTACTCTTCTGATGGAAGGCTTCCGTGGCTTTCCGATTCGCGATCTAGGTTATGCACCTGAGCAAGCCGGATCGCAGCACCCAGGGTAAGCCAACAAGTCTTCGGCTTAGAACCCATAGAATAGAGACAAATAAGCAGCATTGGAGGCACCGCCCAGAGTGGAGCTACCTCATCTGCTTGCTCAATGCACCATTCCAGATACCGGCACCCGCTTTCAAAAAGTCTGACATGGCTTTTCTCAGTAGCGCCAGCCGTGAATTGACACCCAGCAGCCAGCTGAAACCAAATAGAACATTTTGACGCACGGCTGATGTGCTCGTTCGCGTAGATCGCATCCAGAAGCTTCCAGCTCTCGGCTTCGTTACAGATTCTGAATAAGAGATTCGGCCCTCCCAAGAGCGTAGTCAGCCAACCTTTGGCAATGGTTTTGGCTGGTAATTGTTCATCTAAAGAGATGAGACTGTTGTGGATTGAGATTGTGACGAATGGTACAGTAGCTGAATCGGACTCTGTGAGCTCATCCTCTCCTAGCATATTGCCTTCGCCTTTATTTGACTTGTGCGCATACTGCGATGCCAAGGTGTCAAGCAGAAATTTTGTAGACACCTCTTTACAGGACCCCAGCTCTACGGCCTGAATTGGGACCGACGGGTCGCTCACCACTTCTGCGGCTTCGTCAATCGAGGCTTTGTTCGTCGACGATGTCGAATGCAAGGGTAGCTACAAGTAGTTAGCATGGATAGAGGCGTGAAGGAATGGCCACGCACAAGATCTTTGGATGAGATAATGTTCGGACTCGTAATCGCAGATTCAGACACAGAGTCGCCATTCCCTTCACTTGTGCTCGTCGTAGAGGCCGTGACTGATGTCTCGATTTCCGAGAAAGTCCCTGCAGGGTGAGTGGTAGAAAGGGTGGCTTTCCTGGAGGGGATGTTTGGATACACGCAGTCGACAAGTCTCATCTGGCAGTAGTGACACGCTGGCCTATCTTTACTGCATTTCTGATGCCTGATTTTGCATAGTTCGCATGTCTTGGACGATAGTCGCTGCTTTCTAAACGACGGCCTTTCTGGCTGCATCGTTACACTAATCGTACATTCGCCTTCCTAGCGAAGAAGGCTTGCTGGAGATTTCACATGGCTAAATAGAGGTGGAATGTGAGGGTCCTATTCTGCGGAATTCTCAAAAGTGCTCTCGAATTCAACCTGTTGATTGGTCTCCTCTGGCCCAGTTGCATACATGGTTGGGATAATCATCGACGATGTTAAGGGTGTGGGGGGGCGAAGAAGTCCACCACATAGCGCCACGTCGATTGATTGGCAATGGAGCACCTCAGCATGTTCACAATACTCCCGAACCCCTAGCAAGACATGCCGTTCTTGTACATTGCTTATTGGCAACCATTGAAGATTTTTAGGCTAGAGCAGATGCGATGTTGATCGCTCCGCACGATATCCGGAATGAAGAGCCGAGAAAATCGGCAGGCCGGTCAAATCTGGATGACGTCCGAGTAGGGCCAAACTACAAATGGATATTGGCAGGACTTACGGCAACACTAGTTGATCCCCGCTTAGGACAGAGGCCCCTTGCTCACCGATTAGAGCCCTGAAATATTATGGGAGCCTTCTTCGATCCCACCCGTTTTCGTCGTCAGTACGGAACGGCTGCTACATGTAGATTAAGTATCACCTCAGGAAGTGGGCAGAAGAAGACGTGCCTGTCTGCTGTTCAGGCGTCCCACCGCCTGAGATGTTGTAGCCCTGTGGAGGCGGAGATCCGTGATGCCACTCAGGGACCAGAGGATATGCAGGTACGGAGCCTATGACGACTGTCGCTCGTATCCCGGAAGTTTTCGCCGAGCAGGAGCTCGTAAGGGAGGCTATAAGCAACGTGTAGAGGGATTCGATAAGAAGAGGGGCAGAAACTGGGAGTAGCCATGGCACGGTCACTGACGGGATCCGGAAAGCTTACCTGCCCAGAGCCTCGCGCCCTAAGACGACGAGCTTCATCCGGTTCGCTGAGTAGTGCCGTGCGTGGAACCGACTAATTTCGTCGCGAGGATTCCGGCCCATTTTCTTAAGATTTTCCTTTAATATCTGTAGGTTACTGTTACAGCTCGACCTTTGGTAAGGCCGGAGGTGGAGACAGGGAAGGCAGCTAGGCCGAGCCTAAGGAGCACGGGATCACAGCCTTAGGGGTATGGTAAGGCTGGGGTCACGTAACAGCTTAGTCTGGCTTAGTAGGCTCAGTCCGGCTCAGTACTGAGCACACTAAGCCACCCTAAGCCAACTAAGCTAAGGTAAGTTATATATACATAGGTAGTACTTACTCCTATAGTACTATAGTTAACTTTATTAATACTCTAACCCCTACCTTTAGACTAAGAGTATTATTCTACTATTACGCCGTTATAAGTAACTGTATATCCTTTACCGCTTAGTAGATATATAGTTATTACTCCCTATAAGTAAACCTACTTAAACTATAAACCGCCTTATATAGAGCGATTTATAATACTTTAACTACCCTCTTAAATAAGTATAACTAAGATATCTAGTAATAACTAACCTACTTTATTACCTATTAATTATCCTACTATAGGAAGCCTTAGAAATATATCTACTAGTAGCTTAGCTAATATTCGTAATAAAGATAAGAAGAATACTATTAAGGTTAACCTATACTAGGGAGACTGTAGTAAACTTAACGCCTTCTTAATTTAACTTAAGCTTATCTTTAAGCTTAATCTAACTAAGTACACTATAGGTAAGAATAAGGTAATATATATAGCTATACACCTTAAGGGCGCGGTATTCGCTTAGTTTAAACTTACTATAAAGGACTATATTAACTTTAATATACCGGACTAAGATACTTATAATTACTTCGAATACTTCGCTAAGTTCGAAGGAAGGATATATAAGGTCTTTAGTACTATTAATGATAAATAAGTCGTAGCTAAGGTTATTTATACTCTTAAATAAAAGGGATTTACCGCTATATATTACTCCGAGTTTTACTAAGTTACTTTAAAGCTTAGTTAGGATAATAAGGATGTGTTTATATAGATCTTCTATAATAACCTAAAGGACTCCGTTTATCGGGAAATAATAAACCCGCCTATAATATATAAGGATATAATAGATAAAGCTATTAAGATTAATAATAAACTCTATAAACTATATATAGAAAGTAAAGAACGTGTAGACTAGAATAAGTTCACTAGACGAAGCTACCGCTTCTAAGGAAAATAGAGCTATAATAACTTTATAAACCTTGACCTTATATACTATAACCCTCCTTTAAGGGACCGAGGTAACTATATAAAAGGTAGAGGAGAATACTATAAGAAAGGTCGGAAGAACGAGTAATAAGCTTAATAAGGGAAGGGAGACCCGTGCTATACTTATAGAAAACCCGGATATTATATAAAAGATTATAAGTAAACGGCTTACGGACTGTATATAATATTAAGCGACGATATAACCGGTACAGGAGAAATAAAGGCCGATACTCTTATAGAGATTAAAGTAGTCGCTGAGGACTAAGATCTAATAGTACGGAAGGGTTACTAAGATTTAGATATATAAGGTGTAGGTAAGTCGGGAGAAAAGAAAGATAACCCTAATAAGGTAGGTTAGGCCTTAAAGTAAAAAGTATATTAAATAAAGTAAGAAAAAGAAGCTAATTATATAGCCTTATTATAAACTACTTATTATAATAATTTATATATTATTTACTATTCTAATAAGGCTAGATCTAGATAGTTTCCGTAAAAGAAGAAGTTATATAATTAGAAAAGTAAAAAGAGTCGAGAATTTTAGGAGATTCTCGCTTAGAATAAAGACTTATATAGTAAACTAGGATTCTAGATAATAAGTACCTAGAATAATAATAAACTCTACTTTATTATAATAAAATATATAAAGGATAAGATTATACTTATTATACTATACTAGCGAAGGGATAAATATAACACTAAGTGCCTCGAGGGAGAGTAATGTCTATATAATATATTTAACCTAATAATAAAATAGAAGTTACTAAAGGAGCTAATATTTACTATCTATTATAAATAAGAGTGTTAAGAGAAAAGGATATATTTTTACTAGGGAAATAGTAAATAAGCCGAAATTATTAAAGTACTTAAAGTATAGGTTAATATAATAAAAGAAGAAGACGCCCTAAAGGAAGAAGTTCTCGATAACTAAGAAGATATTAATATAGAGAATAATAAGGAGGAGTAGCCTCTCGCTAACGATAATAATTAGTTAAACTAAAAGGTAGTAGTATTCCGGTACTCGCTATATAACCTTACTATTATTACTAACTAGTAGTATAAAGAGTTATATTAAGATAGGGAATATAGCGAAGGAGACTAGTACTACTATTTAGTGTTTGACCCTAATTATATACCTTAGCGGTATATAAAGAAGATTTATTTTAGGTACTATATAAATAAGGAATATAAAGATAAAGAGAACTTCTATATACACTAATATATAGAACTTATAATAATTAAAATATAAGTACTAGAATAGCTATAGTAAATCTTAGAATAATATATTAGGGGAATAGTATTAATATAATAATTAAAATACTAAGTACTATAGAGGTAGTAATTAATGAGCGATATAATACAGAATATATCTTAGAGTACTTCGCCTATAACGACTCTAATTATAAGTACTTCTTTATAGTATACGCTTATTTATTTAATATTAATCTAGTATACCTATATTAGGCTATTACACTATCCTCCTATATAAGAATACTATAAGACAAGCTTATATATAAGGAATAGGAATATATATAGAGATAACACCTATATATTTATTTCCCTAAATAAGAACTTAATATAATAGTAGAGTTAGTATATAATCCGGAGATTATTAAGAATATTATAAATAAATAAGCGGATACTAGTTATATTATAGATTATTTCGAGTACTATAACTCCGAATACCTATAATAAGGCGAAATATATATACTATTATATACGGCCTCGCGAGAGACCGGTTATAAGTCGCCGAGCGGAGACTCGCTATATTCATTAAACACCTAGAGGGAATATAAGACGAACTAGGGTTAGCTACGGACTATTATATAATAGGCTCTATTAGCCCTAGGGGTATAGTAATAGAGCGAGTAGAGCGAGTAGAGTATAGTATAGAATATATAGATATATATATACTTATTATTAAATAGTCTAGTTACACTTCTTTGTAGCTAACTTATATTATCTACTTAGACCTACCTTTAAGTATCTTATTATACCTAGCTATCTACTATACCTCGCCCCTATATCGTATCCCCTATACCCCTACTTAAGTATTATAACTAGAGACCTAGCCCTTATTAGTTAGTTAAAAGGAGTAGCGCTAATACTTTAGCTACTACCCCTAATATAATATAGATATATATATAAGTAGATACACTAGACCTTCTTTACTTATTAATAAAAGCCTTACTCGTTAGGCCTTACGCTTATCCTTAAATAAGACCGCGTCAATAAGACCTAGCACTTTATAACTAACACCTCCTACCTTAATATTATTCGTTATAACTACTAAGGTAAAAGGATATTTAGGTAACGCCCTAAAGCCCTATAAGGGAGAGCGGAAGGGACTAACCCCCTTAATTTAATATATAGATATATTCTTCCTAATAAACTCCAGTAAATTCCTAGATAAGCTTACTAAGGTCCTATTTACTAGCTCCTATTTAAAGGGGGATACTAAAACCTAGTTTAGGCCCTACCTTAGGGACTATACTACTAATAAACCGGCTAATTAAAGTACTAATATAGGAGCTATCTTTAGTACTTATAAGGGGTTTAAGGAATAACTTAAGACTATCTTCGGTGTATAGAATAAAGAATAAGAAGCTAAAGAATAGATTATAAACCTCCGATAGACTAGATCTATATAGGAATATATAACTAAGTTTAGAGGGCTCGTCG